CTGGATCAGAACCTCCTTCTCATAAGTCACTAGTTGTGACCTTGGTCGACACATTTAACCCCCTGAAGAATGTCGCTAGTAGTAAATGAGAGAACATTTATGAGTTTGATTAGCAAAATGTCTGGCACCTAGTAGGTACTAAAAATGCTGATTCCCTTGGGTGTAGGTGCACAAAGGGGTACAGAAAGGCAAAGAAGCTGGTCCCCTGAGCCCGGGGGGCCAGGGGGGCTGGGGAGGCTTAGGGCTGTCAAATACTCCCAGCAGCTCATCTCACACTGGAAATCTCCCTGTCTGCTCACGCTGTGTGCTGTATATCTTCCCTGGGCTGGGAGTCTTAAAGGATGGGAAGCACTGCGAAGGCTGGGGGCTCAGAGTCTGGAGATGATGGGAGGGAGAGGGGACAGAGTAGCTGTGGACTTGGAGGACTCAGGGCTCAGGCTGTGGGGGCCTCCTGCTCCCCATCTGTAAATGACGGTCAGCCAGAGACTTGACCCTCCAGCAGTTATGGCTGGTGAGGTGTGTGGGTAGGGGTGTCCCCCGTATGCCTGAGTAGACAGTTCATCTCACCCCTTTCCCAGCCACCATGGTCTTGTTCCTCACACTACGCATCAGAGAATGGAATTCATGTTGTTAATCTCACAGATCAGGAAGCCAAGCAAGGGGAAATGAGTGCAGGTAATAACAGGCATTAGGTGGATCTGGAACTTTGGCCCACACATCCTGCTGCTCTCCAGGCACCAGAATCTGTCCTTTTCCCCAACTACTCCCTGATCTCTGGGACTTAAGTCCCAGCGCCTTACCCAGTATGCGCCCATAGGTTTCCTCTCTGGACAAGCAGCCAGGTCAGTCTGACTCTGTCAGTTGTCAATAGCCTGTTCTGGCACCAGGCCATGTCCTGTGGACCTTTGACCTGTCCGAGGCAGCAGAGATACAGCCCCCTTCATCCCTCTGTGCTGGGCACGGGGCAGGCCTGGCCCCACAGCAGGAAGGACCCTCAGCCCTGCCTGCACATCAGAATCCATCAGTGAGCTTTAGGAAGGGCTGATGCCCAGTCCCACCCTCTTCTAATTAATTCAGAATGTCTGAGGGTGCAGTCCAGGCACAAGTATTTTTCTTAAATCTCCCTCCATGATTCCAATCTGCAGCCAGGACTGAGAACTACCACATGGGAGAATAACTGCTTGACCTGGGGGCAGAGCTGTGAGCAGTGAGCCTCAGTGTTGCTTCTCTGTGGTTTTTCCCATCATGCTTTGTGGTCCCGGGGCCAGGTGCCTCTCTCTTTTCCTCAGTTTGCTATCCTAAAGCACGGTTTGTGTTCCTTTTGCCTTTTCTGTTCTGTTGAGCTGATCTTTTTATAGTCATCTTGGTCTCTTTCCTTTTATTCTGCCTTTCATTTATTTATTCATCCAACGTTTAATGAATGCCTGCTACGACAGGCACCGTGCTAGCTGCTGGGGACACAGGAAGAGCAAGAAGGCTGGCTCTCATGGAGTGTACGTTCTCCTGGGATTTACCCTGTCCTTTTGCTTTTTATTATTAAGGCTGTGATATTTGAAAGCTGTGTTTTTCTAGACATACATCGCTGGTCCCTTCTTCATTTTGTCTCTGACTTTTTCACTCCTTAATTAAATTCTGCTTATGTTTAGTGTATTGATTATCAGCAAAGCCTCTGTTCCAGGAAGCTAAATGAGCTCAGTTGCTTGCATTGGACAGGGTCTTGCACATGTGTGTGTACACACAAGTCTTGTGGTGTGGATACACGGGAACAAAGGCATCTGGACAACATTCAGGTTTGGAGATTGCTGATTGATGCCTCCCTTTACTTCTGTGACTGGGGAGGGACTTGGAGAACACAGCTTGGTTAAACCACTTGTCTCATTGCCCCTGGAGAATATTCAACCAGTGAACGAAGATCTGTCAGGGGCCTTGTGTGTGCAGGACACTGAGCTGCGTGCTCTGGTGGGGGATGGTTTCTGGAGTGCCATGGCAGGAAGAGAAAGGGGTGGCCTCTCCCTCAGGAAGCCCACCAGGAACACAACAGGATCATTTACATGCAGAAGGAGTAAGTGATACAAGGCCGTCATGGCAAGGGCCAATAGATACCTGAGAAAAGCTGAAATTCTCAGGGCACCACTGGCATCGGCACAGATTATTCTGAGGTAGACAGCACTCTGCCTCCACCTCTCCCACAGTTCTGGTGCCCCCTTCCCCTTCCAGCTGGGGGTCTTCCATAAAATAGGCACCAGCAGGTACCTGTCCTTGGTGACAGGCCGCTGGCAGACACTTCTTTACATTGGTGGAGGCGTCTCATGAGCCAGGGACTAGGTTTTCCTTGTTGAAAAACAAGGACAATTTCACTTACTCTCTGCTCACAACCATTAAACATTTGATTTGTACTTTCTCCCCAAGACCCACAGCCAGTCACAGCCCTTGTTTGACCTCTAGGCACAGGGAATTTGGTATAACTATATCTTTAACCAGAGGGAAAAACAAACCTGTTTGTTTTTTTTTATTAAAGTCTGGGGATTTCTTTGTGGATCTGATCTACTGTCTGAGGTAGTGTTTTTCTTTTCTTGTGTGTGTGTGTGTGTGTGTGTGTGTGTATTTTACTGTGACCCATATCAAGGAAGACATATTGCGTCACCACATGTAACTGAAACAAGTTTCCCAAAACATTACTTAAACCTTACTATATGCAGTGACCTCAGATACTTTATATTCTATTTTATTTTTTTTTTAATGGGCTGGTCATCCACCAAATTAAATTCATGGGATAATAATGGGCTGTAACCCCCCCCTGTTTGAGAAATACTCTACTAAGGCTAGTTTTGCTTTAATCCACTTGGGCCCAGTGGCAGAGGCTTGGTCTAGCACCCCCTTGTGGACTCTTGGACAACAGTGAACACTGTTCCGTCCCTGAGATGCCTTCAGAACCAGTCATTAACTGCCATCCTTGAAAGAGTTGAATTGGTGGGCCTGTGGCTTTCCCAAAAGGAATATCTGCTGACTGTTGCTAAAATTTGAAATGGAATAGCTTCCCTCCTCTGGGACATGTCCTCTTAAGACATCTTAGCAACAAAAGTCAGAGAACAAATGTTTTTAAGCAAGTGATGGAACTTGTCTCTGACTTTTGACGAGTACTTTCCCCTTATTTTCACTGCAGCTAATGGGTCACAGACGTAAGAGGTGCTAATGAAGCTAACACAAGTAAAAAGCACACGACAATGCCTGATAAGAGTGCCCAAAGTATGTATTCCCCCACTGCCTCACAGCCTTGATGCATTGATAAGCCTCAAAGATTTCTTATGTCTTAGAGGGAATTCAGTCTGATCTATACCAAAATGCCTCACAAAGGTTCAAATGTTTTTGAGTCACTTCACAATTTTTCTAAATGTAGAGAGGCTAGAGGTTGGGATGTGTGCCAGCCTGGGTGGGCTGTGGTGGTTACATAGAGAAGCAGTAAAAATGCAAGCAAATGCATGGATTGTGGAGACAAGCTACTTCTGCCCCTGTCGTGCTTCCCATCCCACCTCTAACTGGCCTAATCCTGAATGGGGACCTATGAACGCTCACTCAGCCCAAGCATGTTTCTGGAATGCTCCTCAAAGCTGCTGGTGGCATGGAACTGGGTGGACTCATGACATCTTTAGTAGTGGAACAGTAGCTTTGGGTATCTTTTTGAGCTTGTGGGAAGTTTAATGAAGATAATAAGTATCAGATATTCAGAAGCATCTATGCCCAAACTGCTCAGCAGACCAGGCCGGGTCTGTTTTCTTCCTCCTCTGTGGGTGCCATCTCTGCTAGGCTCTGGATGCAGCTGAAGGCCAGCTGGGCTTAGCTGGATCAGTGCCCACACGCCCCTGGTGTGACCCGAGACCTCTGTGCAGCCCCAAGGCTGAGCCTTTGGCATGATTATATCAGTAGTGATCCACAGGTCACATTTTCTGAACAGATAAGAAAGGAAGTTAACATCTTAATGTCAGGGAGCCTCCCATTTAGGCTTCACTTGATACTCAAGGCAACCAAGCTGTAACTGTGATTTTAAACATATGAAAAAAAAATGTCAGCCGATCAAGATCTGAGGTTGGGTAATAGAAACCAAACTCCTAGCTAGATCTCAAAAGTCTGGCTCTCAGCCTTGCTGCTAAAGGGGTGGCCAAATTCAAGGATGGTTTAAATACATTTGTTCATATTAACCAAAGGCAATTGTTCTTTGACATTTGTGGAAAAAAGAATTAAAATTCACCCTCAAGTGTATTTGTTACCCAGCCTTTAAATTCCAACTCTGCTCAGTTTAGACCCAGCCCAGCACTCCAACATAGTTTGTGCAAAGGAAACTGCTGATTCTGTCAAATGAATTCCATGGCTCATCTCTCTGGCTTGCATCTCTCGATTCAACATGCAGACAATAAATGTGTGGTGTGCACTTCAGTCCAACCCTCCCAGCCACCCATGGTTTTGCAGGGGTGGGAGCAGGGCGGGTGCAGAAACAAATCTCTGTGTATCACACAGACTGGGGAACCCAGCTGCACTCCCCAGACACCGTGCGACCCATTTTGCTAAGAGATCTCACATTTGAAGGTGGCCTTGTGGTTTATGGTTGTTACAGATTTCTCTCCTTTCATGGCTTGTAGTTCCATAGTGTACAGCTGAGAAGTGAGGCTCAGGGACGCGCCCAAATTCTCACAGTTGTGGCCGATCTGGGATCCCACCTCCGCATTTCCATTCCCACGCTCCTCCCAGCAGACCAGGGCCCCGACACTGGCAATTTCTGGGCACCAACCATCCTGGATGGCCATCTGAAGGGGGCTGCGTGGTCCCCGTCTTTGGTGCCTTTGTCTAGAACATGCTGTCCATTTGGCTCGAGAAATCTTCGGCCTAAATGTTAATATTTATCATTTACAGCCGGCCATTGCCCTCTTTCAAAGGTGAACACAGGAAAATTTATGACAGGGACATTATCTGATAACGGAGGAACATAAAGGGAGGAAGAGTGGCAGCCTGTCTGTCCACGCGAACGATTCGTTCAAGCCGGGGGCGCCTGGAGGATTCTGCCATGGGGCTGTGGCCACGCTTTTTCCTCCTAGGGCTGCTGCTTCTGGGGCAAGGTAAGTCTGCCATCTGCTCAGAGGACAACCAGTGGGTCAGTCCCGCAGGTCCGCGGTGCTTAGGCATGGAGCTTGGGAGAGGAACGTGTCCGTTTTCATGAGTGCGCACTGTGGAGCTCAGACCCAAGCAGGCTGGAATGCTGAGCTGTGAGTGCCCAGGGCTGTGGGGCAAGGGCAGGTCTTTAATGCAGGTGCGCAGCAGCTCCGTGGTGGGCAAAAGACATGGGTACAGGGACTCACACAGGACTGGATTCTAGCTCTTTGTTGAGTGGCCTTGGGCAAGTTCTACCACCCCGGACTTGGTTTTTCTCACCCTTAAAATGGAAATACTACCACTACTAATGATAAGCACTATTTATGGGCTTTGTTTGGATTTTGGTAAAAAGGGGAAGGCAGATTTCAGGATGACAAATTCTAAAAGGGTTGCACACATTCTTCAGTGCGACGGCCCTGATTGAAGGGAGTGGGTAACTGCCAGGGCTCTGGGTTTCTCCTGGTGCCTGTGTTTGGGGGAAGATTGTGCCCCTGCCACAGTCCCTCTCTGTCCCTCTTCTCCTGACCCCTGACTCTTCCTTCCTCCCTTTTGTTTAGAAAGACAGAGGTTTTTAAACTGATAAGGGCCTTAAAGATGATTTTTACCTTTAAATGGGAGGATGGGGCCCAGAGCGGGAAAGTTCTTGCCCTCAAGCTCCCTGAGGGAAAGAAGGAGGTTTGAGACAGAAGCCCAGGCCTGGCTGGGGACCAGGTGCCAGTCCTGCTGCTTATCGGGGACAAGTCAGTCACCTTCTTTGAGTTGGGGTTGGGGTGTGTGTGCAGGGGTGGGACTCGAGATGGGGGAGAATGACAGTGCCCACTATGATTACTGCACAGGGTGATTGTGTTTTCTGATTACTAATGAGGCCAAGGATGGGTTTATTTATTCATGTTTCATGTTTATTGGCCATTTGAATTCCTCTTTTATGAAGTACCTGTTCAAGTATGTTTCCCATTTTCCATGGCTTGGTCCTTCCCATTGGTATTTTAGGAGCTTTTCACACATGCTGAGCATTTGCTCCCTATTGGTTATCTGTATGGCAAGCATCTTCTACTCTAGAGCTTGTATTTCTCCCTTTATGGAGACTTTAGATGAGCAAAATTCTTATTTTGGGAGAAATAAATGAAGGCCACTGAAATGAGAACAAGTGGAGGCTATTTATCCCAAGGCTGAAAGAGCAAGGGGGTCACCCCCATCGTTTGTGATGGGCAGAGACTACAAGCAGGCAGGCAGAGGGAGAGTTTGGGAGTGGGGGAGGCTTCAGGTCTGCTCTGATTGGAGGTCGTTGCCCTGGGGTAGCTGGAGTGGGTACCAGGAGGTGAGGCATCTTCAGTGATCTGTTTGGGGAATATATTTGCCATTCTCTGGTTAGTTCCGACTTGGAAGCAAAGACTTAAAGTAGGGAAGCTGTAGTCATGGACCAAGTCCTGACTGTTCTAGGCTGATTGCTGGTCAGGTTTCCTGGATTAGATTGCTGCAGACACGTGGGTCACAGTACTATTGTCTTCTATGGTCTGACCATTGTCCCTATATTCAGTCTCTCTCTTTCTAAAGTTTTAATCTTTTCCTTTTTGATTTGTGCTCTTTGTGTCTTGCTTAAGAATTCTCCTGCCTTAAGGTCATGAAGATATTATATTTTCTTCTAAAAACTTCATAAATTCACTTACCTCATTTGAGTATTTAATGCATCTGGGATTGATATTTGTGACTAGCGTAAAGAGAGGAACCCAATATTACATATGTTTTTTCATGCAGATACTTAGCTGTCTCACCACCATTTATTGAAAAGTCAGTTGCTTCCTTATGAAGAGTTACCTCTGTTCATACATAGATACTGGCGTCTGTTTCAGAACTCTCAGTCTATTTGTTTATCTTGTGGCAATAACACAATGTCTTCATTCCAGAGCTTGATAGTAAGTTTGAGTATTTGGTAAAACAGGTCTTTTTGGTTATTTTCTTCTTTAGAAGTAACTTGCTTTGAACTTCCATATAAATTTTACTATCAGTTTGACAATTCCTACCAAAAACACCCTGTGGGGATTTTGATAGAAATTGCTTTGACTTCTATGAATCAAACTGGAGAAAACAGACATCCTTACAATATTGAGTCTTCTGGACCAGGAGCATGTATTTAGATCTTCCTTAATGCCTCTCAAGGTGTTATGCAAGATCTCAACAGAGAAAACTACATGTTTTGTTAAATTTATTCCTAGGTATATGATGTTTTTGTTGTATGATCAATGCATTTTTCTTAAATTCTATTTTAAAAAGATTTGTTATTGATATATAGAAATTATTTTTTATATTGATCTGGAACCCAATTAAACTCTTAAAAATTTTAACAAATTGTATATTCTTTTGGACTTTCTTATACACAGTCCTGTCAACGATGACAGCCTGGGGCTCTCTTTTCAATCTGTGTACCTTTTCTTTCTCTTGCCTTTCTCTGCTGGCTGGTGCCTCCATTACAATTTTTCATAGAAGTGATGGTTGGAGGCATTCTTATCTTATTCGCAGGTTCTAAAGGAAAGTGTTGAATGTTTCATCAGTAAACCTGGTGTTTGCTATAGGCTTCTCTGTAGATACTCCTTATGAGACTAAGTTCTTTTTTATTCTTAATTTGCTAAGAGGTTATTTAAAACTGATGAGCGAATGTTGAATTTTATCTAATACTTTCTCTGTACTTATTGAGATGATTGTATGATCTACTTACTCCTTTAATCTGCTAATGTGGTAGCATTTTATTATTTTGTTCATTTTCTCATTCATTGCCTACTAGATTTACAAAAGACCACACATTGCATTTACTTGTCCTGCCCCTTAAATCTCTGTTAATCTGGAGCAGCTCTTTAGCCTTTTTCTTGGGTTTTTGTGCATTGAAAAATTTTTTTCTTCTCTGTCATTGAAAAATTTAGGCTGGCTTTTTCTGTGCACACTTTAATTTGGATTTGTCCAAATTGCTTCTTTATTGCTAGAATCAGATTAAATTCTTTGGGCAGAAATACAACATAAATTATGTTGTGTCCCTGATGTGTCACTTTAAGGGATATATTTGTATTGGTAAATACCCTGATTAGTGAACTTAAATTTGATAATTTGGCTAAGGTGGCATTGCCAGATTTCTTCCTGATAACAGGTAACTTCCCCCATTCTTTATATTTTCCCCCATGATTTATAGGTTATATGTAGGAAGATACTGTGATATCATGTGACTATTCTTATACCCAGTAGTTTAGTATCCATAAACTCTTGCCTGGATTGATTATTACCATGGTGAGTATAAATGGTAAATTTAAAATGACTCTCGTTCCTTCTAATATTGTTAGTTGGCATTCCTCCATTAAAAAAGAGATTTTCTTCTTCTCCCCACTTTTTTCATGTTTTATCTTTTTAATATAAAATGGACTTATGGATTCTTTTATTAATCAATGTGTTATAATCCAGTCCTCTTCTTATTCATTTTGATGCCCCAGTTATTATGGATTTGGCCAGTGAAGTCCCCTTCGAGCTGACTCCTGAATCCCCATCAATTTCTAAGCATATTTTAACTTTACAGAACTAGCTATTCTGGGCTAATCTTATATTTTGCCATCTCAGCCATGCAATTAGCTGTTTCTTCAAGGTTCCTGTTGGTAAGAGATTTTATTTAGGAGCCAAGATCTGGGTCCTAAGGGTGTTCATCGCTGCTAGAGTGTCTAAATTATGTTTAAACTCTCTCAGTGGACAGAGCTAAGAGATACAGTTTCCTTTTTAAAAAATGAATTCAAGCAGCAATCTCTAGTTTTAGGTAGAATTAGGCTTTTATCTCTTTCCTTCATCACAGATTGTATTATCCTTCTCCCACAGTGCAAACCAGGGTTACAGAAACATCAATTAATGTATTATTCATTTGCCGAACCTTACAACACATGAGCATCACATTGCAATTGCATATTATGTATCACATAATATTGGACAAATGATAACACCACTACCAACAAATGAAGTTCACGTTTCTTTGCTGTTCTTTTGTTCTTAGAATATATCCCACTCAGGGTATATAATCAAAATACTTTGTTCAAAATATTGATTCTTTTTCTTTTGTTCTCTCTGTGTGGGCATGTTATCTATTTGACATGTGGTGAAGTCTGTCTCCATATTCAGTTACAGGGTTTCTCCCATTGTTGATTTTACTTTGTTCTTTGAATATATAAAACTCAGTAACATGGTTCAAAAGTCAAAACTATATGAAGAAATATACTCTGAGAAGTCTCCAGCCTCCTCTAGCCCTTCTACCCCATTTCCACTCACCCCTATAGTTAACCAGCTTCATTATTTTCATATCCTTCCTATGTTTCCTTTGGCAGATACATATCCTTATTTTTTCTTCCTTCTTGCACAGGATAACCTACTGTACACTTCTTTTTTTTGCATCTTGATTTTTTCTTTTTAACAATATATCCTGAAACTACACAATATCCTCTCAGAGATCTTTTTCTTTTTTTGCCACTTGTATGGTATTTCATTATGTGCCATATATACATTTAACCAGTCTTCCAATGTGGGCATTAATTTCTTTCCAATATTTTGCTAATTACAAGTAGTGCTATCATAAACAATCATGTGCATATGTCTTTTTCATGTTGTTGGAGGTATAGCTTAGCACAAATTCCGAGACTGTGTCAAAGGGTAAATACACATATTTTTTTGTTAGACATTACCAAATTTTCCCCCATAAGGATTGTGCCATTTTACGTCCCCATCAATCATATATATGAAGATGCCTACTTCTCCACAGCTTGCCAATAGAGTGTATAGTCAAGATTTAGAATTCTGGCAAATGTCACAGGTGAGAAATAGTATTTTAATATTCATTTTTCTGATTACAAAGGTAGCTAAGTGTCTTTTTATATTTTAAAAGACCATGTGGTCTCAGTTTCCAAAAAGCAATGAAAAAGGGTAAGTCCCAATACACCAGGACTTTCCA